GATTAGGGTGGCCAAAAAATACTTAGGCGAACGTGCATAAGTGTAAAATAAACAAGGGTGAGATGTGGGCCGACGCAACACAGCAGATGTCAAATGCGCGTGGGGAAGAAACAGACAATATCGCTACGGTACGATTACCTACCCTACCCCCACCATGAGATTACTATCCGCATGTGTTGTCACGATATCGTCTTGCACGACCTAGTGGAGCAGGACAGTAAAGAGATTACGGATAGTTCGAGAGTCATGTAACCTGAGAATGAGTATTCTTAAGATAATCCTCTGGCCTACTAGTTGAAAGTCAGTATTCAGTGTCGGTGGGCCGATAGCACTGTAGTATATGGTACCCGACTGATACCGACTGCGTTCAGGTGAATTCAGTCGTTAATCCACCTCATATAACAGCAAATAAGCTATGTCTACCGATTGGTGGGTAATTTGGTGGTGGCTTTAACTTAACATTGGCGTTATCCGCTTACTCCCTAACACATTCGTTTGACTTGACTTGTTCATTCACAGTGACATACCATCTTTGAAGTCCGCGTTGGCTATCTTAACTTAGTGAAAGATTACTTTTCCGCGAATAATTTTAACAAGGCAAAGGCGACGAGGTTTGTAGGATGTAATGACGTCATACAATGTTGGTTAGGCCAGCTAAAGACATTCTCCAAATGCATTGGGCAGATGCAAAGGCTGTTAGAAACGGGTTCAACTGAACATATGTTGGAGTGGCTGCTTGAAGCAGAAAATAAGATACTTAGGAGTTCTATTACAAGACACCTAGCAGACACTGGAAATGCTGCCCACCCAAGGCCTCCATTTAAAGTCATACTGCGGTCGACAGCCGACCTTCTCCTGCAATTTGCGGAGACTGCTGCCAAATGAGGAGAAAACCAGCGGCATTTAAGCACCTGGATCACGTGATCAAAATCCTATTAACGTGGTAACGATTGCTATGGCACGTAAAGTCATTTGCTCTGCCTTCTTTCACGCCCACTCTCTTCCGCGGCTGACCAACTGCTATCCTGCCCTATGACACCTGAGTGGCTTTCTATCAAATATGAACTGCCTTGCTACCTCGATAATTGTCCCCCCTGCTCTTCTGCCTACCATACGCACCCGTATCTGAAGCCAACGTTTAATGCTCTATTTACTTATGCATTGGTAACCTTCTATGGTGATGCATTATGAGACAGATAACTTTTTCTCTTCAATAGGCAATGCACGTGTACAGTTGAACAAGAGCTCACGAAATTGTATGAAAT